ACTCCCCATTAGGGGCTTTTTACCCCCTCTGCAGAGAAGCAGTCGGCGTATTCTAAAGCCTTTGCAGCCATGGCACGAAAACCGATGGCAATTCAAGAAAAAATGAAAGGGAAAAGAAAGAAACTAACAACTAAAGAAAGGAAGAAATGAAGAAAGTAAGGAAGAAAAGAAGGAAGAAAGAAAAAAACTATTAACGAAAAAATCTAAAACAAAAATCAAGAGAAAAAAATGAATGAAAAGAATGAATGAAACAAACTAAGAGGCATGAATAAATATATAGAAGAAAAGATGGAGAATTAAAATGAAGAAAAGTAAGTTTCCAGGAAAGTAATTGAAAAGCTTTAAAAAAGGCGAAATATGAATGAAAAAAGTACATATGAAATAAAAATGAATAAATAAAAATATAAAAATAAGGAAAAATACAGAAAAAAGGTAAAAAATATTAGCAAAACATTATCAAAGACAAGCGACAAATAAACAAAAACATGAAAATATAAAGAGAAAGGAAGGCAAAGGAAATACAGAAACAGAAAGAAAGATGGAAGGAGAAAAAAAAATGTCGGAAAAAATGAAAACGTTTAAAATATTTAAGAAATCAAATGAAAACCAGAAAAAATAAGAAAATGAGAAAACAAAAGAAAGAAAGAAAGAACGGAAGGAAGGAAGGAAGGAAGGAAGGAAGGAAGGAAGGAAGGAAGGAAGGAAGGAAGGAGAAACATAATAAACATCAAATGAAAAGGAGTGAAACGAAAGTTGTTAAAAAGAAAAGGAAAGACTAAATAAGAAAAGAATAAAAAGAAGAGAAGCGAAATAAAAAAAAAGGGCGGAAGAAAAGAAAAAAGAGAAAATGTGATGAACAGAAGAACGAAGAAATAGTAATAGTAAAAGAAAATAAAATACATTTTCCGAGAAATTTAAAAAAAAAAGTACAGAGGAAATAAAAATAGAAAGAATAATAAAATATGGAAGTAAGAATTTAACTGAAACGAAAGAAAAGTGTACCCCCACCCCGCAACATCTGCAATGTGCTTTGCTCTTTCTAGAACCGCGTCTGTCTTCGTCGCATCTCGACCTGTCCAAAGCCGGTGATAGGTAAGATGAAATAAGCTGAGGCCAATAGAGGTCGCTCCAGCGCCTGTCATGGCGTCTGTCATCATAAGGACGACGACTGACGAGTATTTTTCGCATGCCGTTGTCTTTTCAAATCAAGGATCAGATGATGTAATCAGTGGCTCCGTTGTTTAGATTAAATCCTTTGTATTTGTCTTTCGTTATAATGTTGACAGATGAGGACAAAATGGAGACATGAATAATAAGAGGGGATTTTCTTTTTAATCAGATCAGATTTTGAAACAAAGAAAGAAAGAAGGACGATTTTTTGAGGATAAGAGAAGTAAAGGGGAAGGAAGGAAAGCAATCATTAAGGAAGAAAAGAATATGGAATGATATAAGGAATGAATAAGTAAAAGAAGAAAAATTGATAGGGAAAAAAGAAGAAAGGTGACAAACTACAGAATTGGAACAAATAATAAAGGAAGTCATATCAAAGGAGAAGTTGGAGGCTGAAAAGAAGGAAGGAATGAAACCAGAGGAAAATGGTATGAAACTGTCGAAAGTATGGATTACAGAATGAAAAGTTAAGATCAAATTCCAGTTGAATCTGTTGGATAATGCTATTTAAAAGAAAAAGGCATGAATCCATCTTCCTGGAATTAAGGGGACAGAATTGGACAGAAGTGGACAGGACTCACTGCCTTTAGTAGCAGCCAGTCTAGGCGAATGAAAATCCTGAATTCAAACTATTTTGTTCATATGTGTAGCCAGTCTAGCGGTTCAATTCAAAATTCAACTGTTGGGATATCATATGTTGTGTGTGTGTGTCTGTGTGAGAGAGAGAGAGAGTTTGTGTGTGTGTATATATATATATATATATATATATATATATATATATATATATATATAGTTTATATATATACATATATATAGTGCATATATATATGAGTATATATATATATATATATATATATATATATATATATATATATATATATATATATATATTATCACAGAAAAGACTGTTTCGCTGTTTCACAGCTCATCAGTGTGGATAAACATCCGATTCCTTCAACCCAGGATCGAATATATATATATATATATATATATATATATATATATATATGTGTGTGTGTGTGTGTGTGTGTGTGTGTATGTATAGGTATATATATATATATATATATATATATATATATGTGTGTGTGTGTGTATGAATGTATATATATATATATATGTATGTATATATATAAATATATTTAGACCCTTGGTCAAGAAAAGTTACAGAAGCACATATTCTCAAATTTTTCTCTCGTGAATAAATTTTCCTTTTGAAGCTTCCTATTAAATACCCAAAACTTTAAGACAAATTATTTTTTTTAAATATATTTAATTTGAGAGGAAGAAAGAAAAAAAAGCGGAAGTTGGTTTTCTTATATGTCAACTGTTGTTACGCTATTTAATGTCGAATTTGTACTGAGCACCCAGTGAGGATCGAACTTACTACTCAGTAGTAATGGTCAACCACACACCTCTCATTAACCATTACACACGCTTATGTGCCTCTTAAGTAATTGCCAATTAGAGTAGCACGCTAACCATGACCCTTGGTTTGGTTTGGTTTGTTAGTTGATTTTTTGTTCATGTCTGATCTTGATGGGTTATTTCATGTTGAATTTTGTATGGAGCACCCAGTGAGTATCGAACTCACTCCCAGTGAGTATCGAACTCACTACTCAATAGTAAGGGTCGACCAGATTAGCCTCATTGACCACTACCCACGTCTTTGTGTCTCATTAGAAATAGAGTAGCTCGTTAACCATGACTCTTGGTTTCGTTGGTTGATATTTGTTACATGTCAATCCTTAATAGGTTATTTGACACGTTCGGCGGAGAAAAGTTGTATTCAACAAAAAATTGAAAATTGCTTTTTTTTTTTCACTGCAAATTATTTATTATATCATATCTAAGTTTTTTACAAAAAAATTCGAGACGATTAAACAATATTTCAAGCTCAATTTAGGTTTATAATTCGTAACCATGAAATGAGATGTGGTAACATAAGGCATTTTATTTTTGGTCGTATATTAATTTAAAATATTGCTTTTTACAGGCTCTATTTTTGAACTTGTATAAGGTAATTCTAATTTTACTTGTGGATGGGTTATCTAGTGTTGAATTTAGTATGGAGCACCCAGTGAGGATCGAACTCACTAATCAGTAGTCATGATTATTCAGATTAGCCTCGCTAATAATAGTTCTTAGTTTAGTTCTTTGATTTTATGACATATCAAACATTGATGGGTTATTTAATGTTGAATTGTCTATGGGTCACCCATTGAGGGTTGAAAATCTCTACGCAAACTTGCCTCCTTGTGCCACAACTAGGCTACGCTTAGTAAATTGTTACACGGTCACTTCCATGTGCTGCAATGGTTAGCAAGGTTGAATACCAAAACTACGTTTTCATTTTTTGTTTATTTTTTTTGTTTTTTGTTTTTTTGTTTTTTGTTTTTTGTTTTTATTTACTCATTTTACCTTAAGTAAGGCGAGAATGCCACTAAGACACAAGTGGTTACGGAAAGTGAAAGAAAAAGAGAAATCTTTAGTGAGGAGAACGTAAAATAAAAGAATAGGATTCAGGAAGACTGGCGATTTATAATTTTGAAGATTCTAGGTGGGGGTGAATCAAGAAAGCAAAAGAATTCCACAGGCGAGAAGTGCGGGGAAACGAACCATTAGAATAGGACTTGCGGTTATATCGAGCTATTTCACCAGTAAAAGGATGAGATCTATTTTTCAATCTAGTATTTCGTGTAAATTATTGCTAAGAAAATATTTGTAGAAAACACACACACACACACACACACACACACACACACACACACACACACACACACACACACACAAACACAAGAAAGCCACGTCATGGTGGTGAGAAGTCACTGATGTAAAGATGACCGGCTAGGACTGATAATTTATAATAAATTATGTATTTATAATATTTTAAAATCGCTGAAGAATTTTGCAAGATATTGAATCCACCATGTCATAGTTTTTGGCAACAAATAAATGAGTAAATTAAATTGGGAGAAAGTACGAAAATTAACTAAGAATAAATAAATGAGAGGGAATTGATAGAGAAACAAAGGATGTAGGAAAGCAAAAAGACAATTAGAAAGAAAGAAAGAAAGAAAGAAATAAAGAAAGAAAGAAAGAAAAGGCAAGTATTGTACATATAAAATTTGGGAAAAATTAATGAAAAAGGGAAGGAAAGCTAGCGTTGTCGAAAAAATGAGGGATGTATTTTGGAGAAGAAAAAAAGAAAGAAATGATAATGATGCTTAGAAAAAGAAAGAAAATAAAAAGGAGAGTAGAAAAGCAAGAGTTGTAGTAGGACGTCTTTTAAAGAAAGAAAGAAAGAAAGAAAGAATAACTATTGTACATATATGATATTTAGAAAAAAAGAAAGAAAACGAAAAGAAGAGTAGAAAAGTAAACGTAGAAAAAACGTCTTTTGAAGAAAGAAAGAAAGAAAGAAAGAAAGAAAGAATGAAAGAAAAGGTACGTATTTTATATATACAGATTCTTAGGTGAAATGGAAGAAAAATGGAACGGAAGGGAAGCAAGGATTGTGCAAAGAATGTCTTTTGAGAAAGAAAGAAAGAAAGAAAGAAAGAAAGAAAGAAAGAAAGAAAGAAAGAAAGAAAGGGAAAAAAAGAAAGAAAGAAATGTTGTACATATAAAAGGAGAGAAGATAACGGCAGGAAAGCAATGATTGTGCAAAAATGTCTGAGAAAGAAAGAAACAAACAAACAAACAAAGAAATAATGAAAGAAAGAGGAAACAAAAGCTACAAAGTGGTAAACACAAGAAAAAGAAAGAAAGTACAAAGAAAAGAGATATGAAGGGAACGGAGAGAAAGATTAAAAATAAAAAAAAGCAAGAATAAATTAAAAAAAAACATCAAATATATGACGGAAAATATTAAGCTCAGATGCATACGAGTCGGAACTGCTAATTGCATGTAAAGTTTGATATAAAATGGCTGCGATAGAACGGAATTCAAATATCCGCTGACAGATTGATGATTGACAAGAAGAGACTGCAATAGAATGATGGATGTAAAAACCTTTGTGCCATTCAGGTAAGCATGTAAGTTAAATGTCAAATGGATGTACGACAGTGTCTCTTGAAATAGAATTTGTCATCCCAGAGAAGTCTCAGCGCCTCACCTGTCCATCTTTGTTCAGGTAAACGTAAAGCCAAGAATACTAAGATTAAAGCAGCAGGTATTTATATTCGACAAAGCTGACAGTATCATCGATTTATGATGTACCTATGTCATCTTGCTTACATCAATATATATATATATATATATATATATATATATATATATATATATATATATATATATATATATATATATATATATATGTATACGTATGATGTGCCTATGTCACCTTGGTTATGGCTACACACACAGACGCACACGCGTGTGCACACACATAGACACACGCGCACACATACACACATGCATATATATATATATTTATATACATAGTCACAGGTGACTTCAGACCAAAAGTTAAATCTTATACGTAAAATTTACAGAATGCAATGCTCGCACACATACACACGCCTGAATAAATGCGCATATTTTACTATATACACAAATGTGTATATATACGTATGTGTAGTATGAGGGTGGGGTGAAAGATTCCCAAAATAAATTTTAATATTTAGACCTTTGGTCATATTTCGGAAAGTGACTCTGGTCCTCGAATTTCGCAGAAGCCTCTCGGATACATACAGACATATATATATATATATATATATATATATATATATA